TCTTATTGGCTGGGACCGGCAAGAGCAGGCCCCGGCCAATGAATAACAACTGGGTGGAGCCAACTCGGCGGAGCCGAATAATTTCATCACATCCAGATATACTTAGGTTCTGTGTAGAGCTATGTCTACACAGATATGACATGTCAAGATATGTCTTTAATTAAAAGTGCACATTTCTTTGCACAGTTATGCATTCAATAAATACTAATGCATTTCCGATTCTCTTCTTATTTGCACTGCACAGCATATTCTGATAGCAAGGAAATGCTGTGTACACAAGCCCATCTTTTGATTGTCCGTTGTTGGCTCTCACTGGTGTAGCACATTTCTCAGTCTAAGAAAACTGGAATTGCAGATGTGAAGAAGAGGATTAGACAATCACCTCTTGCCTCATGGTTTCCAATTGTCTGTACCGGGCTTGATAAGGCAATTCCACAGCTGATATTCAGCAACTTTGTCAGGGATATCACGGAGCTGGCCGGCTCCGCCGAGTTTTCATTGTAATGACAGTTCAGCGTCCCCTGACATTGAACTGTCATTGGAACCGTCCGGAGCCAGCCATGAGATCACGGCTGGCTCCACCCAGCTGTCAGTTGCAAGGCTCGGCCCGCTTTGGCTTTCACTTTGCATATTTGCCTTCGGCTTGACTGAGCCACTCGGCCAGCTTCGGAAGCTGTACGGGCTATAGTCCGTACAGCAGCCCTTCGGTTCTACTGAACCGAAGAGCTCATGTGGCCGAAACTAGCCGAAGGATCAGCCGGAGCTATGGCTGATCCTTCGGCTAGCTTTGTAAATAACCCTCTTAATGTTTAATTAAGGGTGAAAAAAAGTGTCTGGGTTATGCAATTTTACGAATGTTGTCAATATCAAAAGCATAAAGAACTTGAGACATACAAACTGATTTTATACTTACAGGACTGCCTTTAGGACCTTGCTCTCCTTGTAGCCCTGGTACACCCTGGTAAAAATAAAAAAAGGTTTGTATATATTTACTGAGCAAAAATGTTATAAAAAGAAACGGATACAATATATCAATTCCCTGCAAAGCTACTTTTAAAGCGAACTATGAAGTATAATAATTCATATTACTAGCATCACATATTAATTAATGAATTGATTACTGATTGCCTCCAAGCACTATCTATATACAAAAAGACTAATTACAAAAAAACTTACAACAGACTTATTGGCTTGTACTAGCCCATCCTGCCATGTCCTTTCTGTAATGGCTAGCACATGGATTTAATAGCAGAATTTTTGCGGTGATGTTTTGATGTTATAGTATTTAAGAACATTAGTACAATGTCCACGATCTGCAGGCTACAAATCCTGATAGCAAACTTTGGCAACTCGGACACCTATACTTGTTGAGAGAACTAAAAGTAAAGCAGACTTGCATCTAGTGAATTGGGAAGGCAGGTAGCACTTACTGGTTTTATTCACCTTTACCCAACTGCCCAGGAATCCATTGTTACTGTAAGTATAGATGGAGGTCATTAAATATTCTTACCTTGTCTCCTTGTTCACCTTTCTCGCCCTTTGCTCCAGGCTGACCTTGAAGTCCTGGCTTACCCTAAAAACAGTAGCTTACAACTATTACTATGCAGTATGATATAAGTGATATAAGTCATATAAGCATAGATATCAGGGGCTAAACTTTGCATTTAAGGGGATTATATACTATTTTAGAATTATATGCTTTTTTTTAAATGAAAGTTTAGGTCAGGGCATAAGTGTATATTATATGCAGTACATCTCTGCAGTACATGCACATTTTCCTGAAAGTAAAGAAAAATACATTTTGATCCTGGCAGAAATGAGCTCCTAATTTTATCTTGTGTGATGACAACACAATGCCTTTGCTGCACTAAAATTCTAAGGAATGTTGCCAGTCTTGCCCAGCTCTGTTTTGCTGAACTACAAAACACCACTCCCTCTAATCATCTTCATAACTTCGAGGCGGTGTGTTCTGTGTAACTTAGAGAATTGAGAGGGCTGATGAAAATCCTTGAGATAAAACAGGCAGAGGGCACAGGACATCTCTGGATTTCAGATAGGATCAACAGGTATTTCTTTTTTTCAGTGGTATTATTAACAGATCAAAAAGGGAGCAAATAAGTGAAGATCATTTTTAGGGTTTACATGTACTTTACATTGAACTTATGCTTTGCCTATTCAGGGAAAATTAACAGGTTTACTTAGGACAGGAGCAAAAAGAAGAAGCCCTAAAACCTGGAGTTTATACAGAGCTGAAGATTCTCTCCCAGCCAAGAGAAGCGAGTCATATGCTCCCACATACTTGGAAGTACTGAGTATTTCTTTTTGCTCCTGGTGACTCAGTATGGGCAGCTGGGGAGGGGAGCAATTAAGTAAACCTGTTGCTTTGTTCTAATAGGTACATAACAGGTAAAATGTTTTCACTTTAAATAAATTATTCCCATTTTATCTCTAAATGAATTTTAAATGACTGATCACATGAGTTCTGACTGAACATGCTGCCAAGAAGAGGGGGTGGTCTTGTTATTGCTTTTTAGTACTCTATTTTGCACTTCAGGTTTTTATTTAATTTTGTATTTAGCTGTATGCCCAGAGTTATGCTTAAAGAGTTTAGATAATGTTATTTATATACATTTACCTGAGGTCCTGTAATACCCATTGGCCCAGCTGGTCCTCTAGGTCCTGAAATTCCTAAATCAGAATAGCACTAATTATCAGAATGTAACCATCTTAGTTTTTATTGCATTATGTATCTTTAAAGGTTTAGTATAATGTAAATAACATATACAAAATATTATTAATTGTACACACAGTAAATATCAGTTCCTGTAATCATAGAATATGAAATGGTGATAGGCTAATGAGAAGGCTCATGAGACATGCACATGTAATATACACTCTTTGAATGTAAATCATGCCAAAACTGGTATAATGCTACAATACCAGGTGGTCCAATAGGGCCTGGTGGTCCACGAGGTCCTGGAAGTCCAGACATTATTGTGTCCGTAATAGTAGATATATGTGAATCTCCATCTACAATATAACATATGAGAAGACATTAGGTATCTGACACGAGACAAAAAAACTATATACGCTGAAGCACCTAATGGAACATGTTTTTTGTAAATATATTTTTGGTATTAAAAAAATAAAATGATAATAAAAAATATATATTGTTCATACTAATTAGCGTGGTTGTATTAGCCCCAAGTAGAGATACAAATAATGCCTTAAATTACTTGCTATAGTAAAGTCTCACTATACTAAAACATTTTTTATTTAATTATTATTTTAATGATATTTTTTCAAGTGTCCAGGGGAATCAAGGCATTACAAAGCAATGCAAAGCCAAGCTGCTAAGCTGACATGCCTCCCAATGGTTTCTAATTTGAAGTCCCTGAAAGGAAGAGGTTAGAAGAGTTGTCAGTGGAATTCAATGACAAATCTGGGACTAAGTTTCTGGCCTAACTGTCCTGATTTTGAATTACAAGGTGTTGAAAGGTGGTATGTTGAGGGTGTCACATGTATGGCAAATAACAATGGCATTATGGCTGGTGAGATATTCACATACTAGCACATATCTGCTGTTTTTGAAGACTCTACTGTGTTTCATATTGGCTTATAAGAGGACATTTGGTTCCTTTTGGATCCCCTAACCCTAACGTCTCTTTTATTTATACTCATCCCAAAAGTTACTAACTTAGCACACACTGTAGCATGGCAGCTGTAAGCAATGCTATATTGATACCTGCCTATATGGGCAAAACCTTCTTAAGAGAGATAGGAAAGAGTTGTTACCCCCTGCCCCAATGAACTGAAAAGGGGCCCACTAGGCATGTTATTCATTCGCCAAGAAGCAAGTGAGAGACTGAAAACAAAAGGAATGGTTTTTTAAACAAAAGGAAAGCTCTGACTGGTCAGTTCTTTCTTTTGTTTATTTATAGGAAACATTGAAACCATGAGTGTTGCATTAGGTAATATAAAGATTTAGTGGTTTTCTTTTTTTAAAATTTGTTTTTAAATACTTTTGAAAAGTCTTTCGTGTAGGATCTCTATTGACCTTTTGCCTGTTTATGAGGCCCTTTGCCTGAAGCACGAGGAAACAACTTACATGCCCTCACTGAAGACAGGTAAATTATGTAATCCTCCTACTAGAATTCACAATACAAACAGATATAAAACAGCCAGCAATAAAAACATGATTGTGTAACTAACATTCATCTCTAGCGTTTCATATCCAAGCCTTCTATGAGTGTATAAGAAATACATTTTAATTCAGTGGGTAACTTGGAAGAAAGCTATATTAAGAAAAAAAATAACATTTAACAAGAATATTTTTGCAATATTATGCCTCTGTGTATATCTCTTCAAACATTCTGGAAACAATATTTTTATATAACTATAGTTTGGGATTACAATCAGTGACTGAACATGACAGTTTTACTCAACACTGATGTTACTTGTAGAAGTTAAATTAAAACACATATTATCTTTACCAGGGCATTAATGAACACTAGTTACCTTTAAAAGTGAAATCAAACATTTCTCTAGTTATTTTGCTTTATTAGGTATTACCACTACTCCCCCCTACTGTTTATTTTTAATAGTAGAGTTTGAGCCTGCAGCTATGTGTAGGCATTGTACTAATTTGTTTAAAGTGACACTAAACTCAGGAGTTAAATCTTAAAAATGCATTCAAGCACCTTAGCTATTAAAAATACTGGACCTTATTTGTGTATCACTCGGCTGTAGATCCTCAAATCATCTCTGAATTCCTACTGACACTGCCCTTCCTTCTGAAGGGGGGCTACTTCTGTTCCCAATGGTTCCTGTGTGTGTTATAAAGTAGCCACCACTCCAAACTCCCTCCTGTGATGGACTACAATCTAAATACAAATGAGTAAACTAAATGTGAGATTGTAGTCCATCACAGGAGGAGCTTGGAGTGGTCACTTTAAAGTACAGCAGTGAGTCCAGTGCAATTATTGCTTAAATGTGTCTCAATGTGCTCAGTACATAATAAGCATACCGTATCGGCATCAAATAAGCTTCATGTATAAGACTAGGTGGACATACTTAAGCATTATATTGTGTATATATATATATATATTTTTATTTGGCTAGAGAAATCCTTACAAATCTCATGTGTTCACAAAAGTGTACAGTTGGTGGTTCTCGATCACTCTCATTATAGGTGGTACACTGAGAGCTCCAGGATTTCTGTGGAGAGCTGCCTTGTTACATCAGTGTCAGCTACCAGTGGCATTTATCACTGTAAGAATGGGGAAACATTTTTATGACTTTATGTGTTCCAGGTGACAGTTTGGAGAAGATACTGCCCTAACTGGATCTTGGCAGTGCAGGTTGGATGGGACATGTAGAAATTATTCACAATACAAATATCACTCAAACACTGAATATGGTGCAATGGTGGTACACAGTGAAGTACGTTTTGGACAAAAAACTGGTTTAAAGCGTTATAATGTCAGCTTCATTACAAGATATACTCTTGGAATTCTGGTGGGCATCGGGCTTGGGGTTGTCCTTTAGCACTCATTATTTAGTGTTTAATTACTGTAATCAGAACATTTTCAGAATAAATAGCCAGAATAGACGATCTGGTTGATGAGAAACACACAGGTTGGTTTCCACTATTACCAGCATATTCGACCCTAGTAGCAAAGAGAAAGGCCTAGACAATTAATTGCCAAAAGCTGAAAATCCTATATACTTACTTTCTTTGCCTGTATTAGGTTGTAAAGAGTATAACACACCCTCTGGAAATGAGACTGGTATGGTGGGTGGTCCAGGGGGCCCTGGCGGGCCAGGTGGTCCTGGAATTCCAGTTACTCCAGGAGCTCCTCTTGGACCTGGAGGTCCTAAAGGTCCTGTTATATTATAAGAAAATTCTTATGAATATATACATACATAAACAACATAAGCACATAAAAGCACATATACAGTACATAGAATCGTTAATGGTATATTTTTTATTTGCCTGTTTGGATTTATGTTAGGTATGTTAACAATTTTTAATAAACCATCATAATATTTTATGATATTATTAAGTGATACATGCATCTGTTGCAAACTTGGAAAAAGTATACAAGTTGCTTTGTGAACTAGTGGGTACATTATCCAATTTAAAAGAACAAACGTGCATATTTTAGGTATCTTGATTTATGCAGTATGTGAATGGGTGATCACATTGCAAAAATGGTATACATTCCATAGGTGAACATTCATATTGACTATGCCGTTAGATATCCAAAGGTAAGGAGAAATAGCATAGTAGAGCACATTGTTTGTACAGATAGATGTTGGCATTCACATAACATATTGTATAACATGTCAGCCATTTTCTATGCCTCCTAAACTATTGTTGCTATTATATTTGATTTGGAAGAGACGGGACAAACAGTTAATCTTTTATCAGAAATGCAGTATATGTTTTGTAAAGCCAAAAACAATAATTTTTTATACCTGGAGGACCAGCTGGTCCAGATTTACCCACTTCTCCATGATCTCCTTTTGATCCAGGTAAACCTATGGGCCCTGGTGGTCCTGGCATTCCTGGTTGGCCTGTTAGGATAAAAAAGGAAGCCAAATTTAATAACAAATTATCCCTTTTGGTATTTACTTTTCTTAAGAGCCAGCTCTGGAGAAAGAAAGGGTTATACTGTATTAGACTTTTCATATATAAATAAGCTCCATATGCATAGGCACTACAGTATATAATAGTGCTTTTAAGGAATACCAATCAAAGCTAAAGTTAGATATCAGATGGTGATAATAGGCATAATTCTTGTTGAAGATTTGTAGTAATGGTGAACAGCTCAGTCATCATGAGTATATTACAGTCATGGCTAAACTCTTGTCGGGCAAGTCAGTCCAATCTATATTTCTTCAGGCTATTCTGAGAAGCTTATGCTCCCACTCACAAAAAAACCCTTAAAATTCTTAGGCACCATTTGCTATCCCACTCTGTTTGCTGCTGTTTTTATTGATGCATGGCTGAATTTAGTTGGGCCACCCACAAGTGCTTGTTAGCTAGTGTTAGCTCTCAAATAGTCTTAGATTCACAGCCTTTCAGACAAATGGCAGAACTGCCAAATGGACAGTCAAGGATTATAAAATGCTCTGTGATGACAAGAAATTGCATAGCAATTTAGTTTTATTATTATTATTATACAGGATTTATATAGCACCAATAGTTTGCACAGCGTTTTACAATATAAGGAAGACATTACAGTCACAATACAATTTAAGACAAGACGGTAAGGAGGGCCCTGCCCGTGAGGGCTTACAATCTAAAAGGGAGGGTCGACGGAGCCATGAGAAGGTAGCTGTGCGGGGATGATTGTTTGAGAAAGTGAATGTTCAGTGGTTAGGTTGAGGTGGGATAGGCTTCCCTGAAGAGATGAGTCTTAAGGGATCAAGTCAAGTTTTTTTTTCCATTATACTTTATAAGCCATTGGGGGGAATTTACGAACGCAGTTGCGACCAAATTTTTAATCGCAAAGACCAAAATGTCATGCTAACTAACCACAGAGTTTTATCTCTTTTTTAAGTGTGCTTGCGACATTTTCATGTTTGCAACTCACTGCACATGTTTTGTGACATTTCGTATAATATTTCAACTGAGCGGTATTTGTGTGCAGCATTTGCGACAGTAAAAGACCCCCAAACAGACACACATCCTCGAAGTTCTCCTGAGCACCTCTTAAACTATCTCAAAGGTGACTCATACCCTCAAGAGAGCTAAGCACCTCACGCTATTCAGCTGTCATCCAGGAGATTCCCAGCAAGCTTGCGACAGTTTAGAGACAGTTGAGAGACAGAAAAATATAGAGACAGTTTAGAGACAATTCTCCTTATGAAGGCATGTAGGAATGAAACATAGACTAAGATAATAAATCTGCCGCTATATGCACTCGAAATAAGGGATACAACAGTCTGAGACATGCTAATGATGTGACAACATTGATAAATTCCCCCCATTAACTTCTGCACAAGATGCCCTGTAATCTTAGCAAGTGAAGGAGACATCTAAAGCAAAACTACCAAAAAGTTTCTGTCTTGCTTTGAAGACTCGTGCTCAATTAGCATTACAAGGATTTAGGCTGTTTGGCAGATTTAAACAACAAGCAATTTTAATGACATAAAAAATACAGAAAACATTTCAAATGCAACATTTCTATGCTGTGCATCATTTTTGTAATTTAAAAGCATGAGCTTTTACCTCGTGCTTTCTTTTCTTCACTATGTCCCTTGGAACCTGTTAAATTGAATTCAGAAAGAGTTGAAAGAGTTCAGACCAATAAGTTCAATGCTATTGGAATAATTGATTTGTGTATTCTGCAAAGAAAGTATGCCAGTATAGTTACCAATACAATGTGATAGATATTGACAGACCTTCCATTTTTGCCTCAGTTCTAATGTTACTTTGTTAGTTTTAGTTTGCAGTAAGTTCTAAGGTGCACTATATTTATGTGATTTTTTTTATAATACTAATTTTCATAACTGGACAATGAGAAGAAAGGTGAGGGCTCACCAGTTTTAAGATGTACTAATGTGGTCACAATTCCAGTACAAATAAATCATCAAGCCAGGGTTACATGCTTTGCTCTGTATTTTAGATTTCAGACTTGATTTCATGATTAGGTTACAGTGGTCTCATGCTGTAGAGCCGGTATGTCAAACTAAAATGAAACAGTGGTCTGAATCCCATGGAATATATTTTCAAGGGGCTACATAAAAGCTGGTAGATTTTCAAACAAACTTTTATATGAAAAATCTCATAAGAACATTTGATAATGTCATCAGAGATTGGAGGATTTCATTTGATTTTAGCATGTAGTTTTGGAAATGAAGTTTCTCGAATGAATACTTAGTTAGAAGTTATTAGAATTTAGTTTGTTTGAGAAAATTTATTCCATCCTGCCCCTTCAATTTTTTTAATTGAGATTGTCGTTTCAGCCCTATTAACTATTATAAAATCAAACGAACATTCCAAAAACTATTTTTATCAAACAAATTTCCACTGGTGTATAGACAGCTTAGGTCTATTGGAGGCCATGCTTACTTAAGTTCGGAAAAAGGTTGCGCTGCGCTTTACAATATAAGGAAGACATTACAATCACAATACAATTCAAGACAAGATGGTAAGGAGGGCCCTGCCCCTGAGGGCTTACAATCTAAAAGGAGGGTCTGATTAGAATAAACAACACATAGGTCATAAAACAACAGGTATTACCCTGCAAAAATATGCAAGAAAGTATAGCCTTTATTAGCCACGAAACAGCTTGGGCCCCATTTGTTTTAAGACTTTAAAAGGGCTGGGGGCCACAAAAAAAGAAGTGAGAGGGCCACATGCGGTCCAAAAAACACCAGTATGATATGAATACTGCCATATACAAGCTCCATTTTGTAGTGGCCTGCTTTCACAAGTCAGGGCCAGATTTAATTTATGTGCCCATCTAGGCTTTATTTTAGCCAATGCTAATACAAATCTCTAAGGCGGTGCTGTTCTGTATATATAAATAAACGTATTCTACATAATAAATGATGATTAAATCCTGTGTATTTGTACTTCAAGCAAAATAAAAAAGATATGTTGTCTTTTCTTGTTATCTTCTATTCTCACCTGGTGGAGATTTTACTGACTTTCTGAATATTGCTCCAGTGCTCAGCAGTGGAATGGCATCAGGTAGGAAGTCCTCATTCCACACAGCGGTGCCTCTTGTTATTGGTAGGTCATTCTCTGATACTTTCTCGGATGATTCCAGTGTGATGACCTACAGGGGGACAATATAAAGAATCAGCAGGTACATGGGCTGGCTACAGTTTTATAAGCAATCCTTACTGGTACAGAGGATGGTCATTCTTCTGAATAGGCTTTCTGTGTAATATGAGACTTATATCCTGCAATGAGTATTGTTCTTAAGACAGCACTTACTGTAGGATATTCACTCTTTGCTTCAGTGATGACTTAAAAGTATCACCAACAAAGCTAACATCAGTTTTTGTGATGGCAGGAGCTTAAAAGATCCCAGTTCAACATTGCAGTGTAGAAGCGGTTACCTAAAATGGTCAGAGGGCAAAGGACTAGTCACCAGTATTGCCTGTAGGCTCCCTGCACCTGATCCTTCACCATGCCTTGTTTTTCTCTGTGAGTCTGTGTGGAGGTGGCTATTTTGGTAGAGGAAAGGCTTAAGTTGCACGTGTCAAGCTGCCCCCTAGTGACAGATGACCTGATGACTGGAGAAGGGAGATTCAAGACACAGCAGGAGAGGTTCACAAAGCAGAGATCCACAAATAAAGCAGCAAATAAGGCAGAAGCAGGCAGATACATGCAGCTCAGATCTTTAGGTTCAGATTCCTCTCCAGCAATGAGAACAGTGAGCAGGACAGTAGTGATATCACCGAACCCCACTCCAAGTCTTCTGAGACTAGCAGTCAGAGGCACCAGTGCCTCTGACACAGCAGATATAAAGCTATGAGGCTGTAGGCAGAGGAGTGCCTATGCAAACTCATAAGCCAAGGCGTGCACTGGTGTAGGTCAAATTCAAGGCAACATGTTAAATTATCAGGACACTGTTTAGACAAATTCACATTTCTTGATGTTCCCTATAACATATCAAATATATATTCTACTATACAGACCTAAACAACATTGTTGACCACTGAGTCCTCTCTAGGTGCTCGTGGGTAAAAATAATGATTAAATCATGTTGTAGAAAGTTACAGTAACAATTTGATCTGGAATTAGACCTGCATTGCTGGCACTGTTAAGAGTATTTGTGTACTGCACGTGACTTAAAATTGAATAAGTCAGCAGTGGCTACAGTGCATAAACTTTAATGTCCAAATAGGCATAGCTCGTTTTGGTCAATTATGGCCTGGCATGAAATATACCAGTGCTGCATTTTAGTTTCAGTCAGCCTCCGCTGCCACTATGTACACTTGTTGTAACCATATACCAATGAAAGGGTCATGTCTGAATACATGCAGTTGCAAGCAGATTTAGTCATTAAAACTTAAAACCCAATCATTGCCATTAATCAGTGAGTCTGAAATCTGTTCCATACTGCAGTAATTGGTTTAGCTGTTGCTTTAAGCTTTCCCATGCCCTCTGACCTTGTGCCACATTCATATTAAACACAGGTATTGTGTTTAAGTAAGTTAAGTAAGTTGAATTCCAAAAAAACACTGAAACGTTTTCATATGTGTCTCCCAATCTGGTACTCTTTGTTTATAAATTAAGTTGTACAATACAACTTAATATACAATAGAAATGAAGAAGATAAAACACCTTATCTTTAATTAGCGGTGCTATGAGATCAAACCTAAAGCATAGTGTCCATATTCTGTTGGAGCAAGAAACATCACTGCCCGAGCAATAGAACCCCTAATAAAGCTTTCATCTGGGTTTGTATTGGTGACATGTACCCACCAAACATCTACAGTAGGAGCTCCTGAACAATGGCATCTGCCATTTCACTGATCTTATTTCTCCTGTTTTGTATATATGAATCTGACAATGGGAAAAACATTATCCATTATCAGAATAGTCATCTAATAAAAGTATAGTTACAACAGTATCACAATTTTCTAAGCCAGATTATGACAAGGAAAACATGTAAATGTTTTATGCAATAGAGGTGACCTCTTAAGAGGGTGTCACTTAGGGTGCCAAATGTTGACTGCATACAGGCTGAAAAGCCAGCCCTGTTTGAAAATGAGAGGGTCAATGTGACAGCCAGGCAATTAGCATCTTCTGAAGTTGTTAGCAATAATGGTAGCTTTCTAAATGTTTCTAAGGCATGTTAAAGCTTATATGAGAGTTTGGTGTATTGGTTTACCTAATAGTTTCTGAATAAAGACCTTCATGGGAGGATCACCAGATATTTGGACCCTTTCAGACGCGCGCCTTCAGTTCCGATCCCAGGGCCGGCCTTAGGCCTTTAGGCGCCCTGTGCGAGAAAGCTTTATATATCGCTGATATTTACCGTTCCCCTGCTCAGCCATGCACAGAGCCGCTGTCATCCTGTAACTGACAGGATGACAGCGGCTCCGATCTCCTCCCCGCTCGGCCATCCTGACAGCTGCGGGCGCGGCATCTCTCCCCCTCACCGCTCCGCCATCCTGACAGCAGGCAGCGCTCCCTCCTGCGCAGGGGGGCGGACGAGGGAGCGCTGTCATATCGGATGGCCTGCGCCCAGCGGTGAGGGGGAGAGAATCCGCCCCCAGGACGAGCTGTGTCGGCCGCACGGTGCCCTTGTTGCCATGGCGCCCTGTGCAGCCGCACTGCTCGCACACCCCTAAGGCCGGCCCTGTCCGATCCGTAGGGGATCTATGCATGGATCCCCTGCTTAATGCAGCAGATGTTACCGCTGTGATATCTGTGTCCATTCAGTTTTTTCCTTCATCTTGCAATGGAGGAAAAAAACACAATTAGCTGAACCATGTTGGTCTATGGGGTATCAGATGCAAACAGACACATTCATTTACTTCCGCACGGTCAAGTCTGTGGAAACGGACATCAGGCTTCCGATCAGGTCCACCTGAAAAACTGACAGGTGGACCTGATTGGAATGCCCATGTGATAGGGCCTTCTTTTAATGAAAGCTTCAGATCTGAAACATTAAAAAGTACGTTTAACGTATTAAAGCTAATATGATCATCTGTTGATTAGGATTACATCTACTTTAGACACAGTGTTCCATGTTGTTCCCGTCATGCTGATAAAACAACTATGTAACATGAAAGTAGAACATGATACATCCCATTAAAAGTTCTATCAACACGTTTCACATTGCAAACAGGTGCATGCGGTGACAGATTGTAATGTGTAACTCAATACAGTGAGAACAACAGACCCAGCATTAGGAGCTCAGCTTTGATACCACTGACATTGAATCATTTTCATCTTAGATTTCTATTATGCAAAATGGTTATGGTTGCCTGTCAAAAAGGGAAATTCTATTTGATTTATTAGGATTAGAGCTAAGTAATACTATCATGCATTATCTTTAATATGTCTTGCCAATTGGAATGTTGAACTCAAGAAGATCATGATGTTGTTTTCCTTGCAATGCTTTGGGCACAGATAGAAGGACACTTCTACAATTTATAGGTCCAGAATGTGTTTACGGTTGCTGACTTTGGCTTTAAAGAAACCTCTTGGCTTTTGTTTGCAACTGAGCTCAGTGAGTTAGATAACGTATATCTTTTAGTCATGTGAATACACCTCATGGCCTCAGTGATAATATATTTTCTTCATTTGAATTGTCAAAGATTTATACAACATTTAAATGCCATGGCTTGGATACCACTGAAACACTAGTCTGTTGTTCATCTCTGACATCAAGATATATTGTTACTGATTTATATGACAGTACTTTAAAAAGTATTTAGCTCAAGAACAATTATTAAATATATTGCAGCATACCAGTCCTTGGTTTTACTTTTGGTTTTTTTAGACTTTTTCCCTTTATTTTTACCTGGTGATTCTTTTAATAACATACTTCCTTTCCTAGGGTGACAACACTTACTGTACTATATCTATGGTGGAGCAGCAGTGTCACCATAGGATAGCCCATAGAACAAGTTTAAAAAAACAACAACTTAAGAACACCTTATCTCCATAACATAAAAGGGGAGGAGGGGTAGCCCACAGAAAGAGCTGACAACAATGCTAACTACTAACAGCAGAGGTAGAGAGCACAGGAAGTTGTCAGTTGACAAGACTGATTTGTTTGAAGTTATTCAAACAAATCAAAGAGACGTTTGTTAGGATTTACATACATTAACCAGTGCTTAAAGTAAATAGGTTGCCATTGCTGACCTACTTTTGAAAATGCTGATTACCCTCTGCCTTAAGTATCATTGTCCTGTGAAAAACAAATACAGGGTTATTCACAAAAGGATGAAGAGTTTGGAGAAGGCAGGAGAAGTGAACAAACTCTTCACCCTTTTGTAAATAACCCTGATAGAAAATGAAGTTAGAGTAAAATTAGAACTCCTGATCTTCACACTTTTTCCAGATCCATGGGTCAGAAAGTATTAAAGCAGTAGTAAACCGCCAACATAGACATAGCAAGACTGGGTCCCCAGGATGTGTTTCCCGTAATGTGCTAGTTTGCACAGCATATTAGCACATTATGGGCGAGTTACATTATAGGTGATCCCCTCCAGGGCTGCCATCTTTATCCAGTCTTCCTCCGGGTTTAGTGTCTTCGGCTTCTTCATTGGCCAGGTTGGGATGATGGAATTCCTGGTCATGAGCACTGGAGTTACTTCATTTCACCATAGAACCTTACTGAGCACTGAGCTGTGCATGCACACCAACGCCGTCAGACAAACGCTACCTGTTAGCGATTTTTTAAAATCCTAACTTAAAGGAGAATTTTGAGGCGAGTGATTTTCACTCAGCCTCATAATCTGAGCCGACCTGTGACAATGAAACTGTCACAGGTCGGCTCAGTAGATCGGGAAGTGAGCGAACATATACCGTCGCTCGCTCACTTCTCGATCTATCTGTACAGAGAGCCGTGACTGCAGGGATTCCCTCCCTCCCCTGTCCGATCCTCCAGCGCTGACTGGCAGAACGGGCGGCGGAGGGGGTGGGTAAGCTGGCTCTGCCTCTAGATAGTCAGAGCCATCTGTCACTCACGCAGCTGGGAGGATCCCGACATCACTGTCGCGATCCGTTCTGGCTGCGGCTTCTCAGTATACCGCAAGCTGCTTTGGGTGATGGGCGGACGCTAGTTTGTGTCCTCCCGTTTCCCTTAGG